CTTAATGCAACCCCCTGTAGACTGGTGAGGCATATTTACTACTACAATCCTCTATCTATCTTTCTTTCTTTTTTTTTTTGATCAATGAGAAGGCAGGCATTGGATTTGTTCCCTAAACCTTAAATTGATGATGGTGAATKTTTTCTTTTTTTGTCTGTTCTGCCATGTTTCAGCAAAGATCACGTGAGTGGATTAACGTGACTTCAATAGAATTGGGCCCCTTCTTTCAGAGTATTAAATTCCTCTTTTATCASAAGCAGTGGGCCTATTCAAGTATAGAAACTGGAACTTTCTAGAACATTTAAAATAGCAGTTCTACCTAGTCGGTCTTATTTGACCTTCACAGTACTGGGCAAGGCAGAGAGAACATAACTTATTTCATTTAYACTGATGAGCTGCCAGACCTGTAGATGTGACTGGATGAGTCCAGAGTCTTGCCACTTTGATTGGTCCAACAGACARTGAACCCAGGCACTAGCAATTCAGAAGGACAAAGATAATTTATTTAAAAACATAATTTAAACAGACCAAAGGAACTCCATAAAAAGRAAATTAAGAGAAAACAAGCTGGATTTTCCCATAAAGAAACAAAACAGCATATCTTCAGTGAACAATAACATWTTACTCCTAAAAGGAAATTAGGTAAGGAACCAAAGGCGGGGGGGGGGGGATAAAAAATTTTAGAAAAGGCCACATTCACAAGGAAAAATGCAAAGAATCCTAAAGTTTTAAGTCTAATAATGAGACCAGCTTTACAAGTACARTGTCATCTTTGAGAAGTGGGTGTCCTGTGTGTGCCAAAGACAAAGCAAGGAGTCCATTTGTCAGTTAGGAGATGTGGAAAAGGTAGTAGAGGTTCCAGTGTAACAACAAATACATGGTATGAACAGATGGGAAATAAAGCCTGAGTAGAGAAAATGGATGAAGGATTAKTTTTTGAAGATAGGTCCATTCTAGTCTGAGTGGTCTGATTGTTTAGTGAATCAWGCAATTCTGTCTTTGGGCATCTTGTGCAGATATGGATATATCTGAGAAGAATGGAACAGGGTTAGTTATCTGGTAAGCAGCTGGAACCCTGGAGGCAGGGTCAGGGATCACCCTGGGACAGGCTTTGMAGTATTTCTGTTGCAGGACAGTTTTATGGAAGTCTTCATGGTGCCACAGGGGGTCATGGATGATGGAAGTCAGCACTGAGTTCATACCCAGCTGTTGGCTGTGGGCCACCACCATCCTATAAAGAATCCCCAAGTATTTTCCATGGAGATGGATCCAGGGCCTGGTAGAAATGGATATTTTTATTAATGATCTGGAATATGAAGTGAAAGTGGAAATTATACTTTTAGTTTGCAGATAGTACAATAAGTTGGTAAATCAGAAGTAGGTGGGAAACAGCCTGAGCTCATAAATATAAGGACAGGGATATCTCCAAGAACTAGTTGGAGCACAAAAGATCTATAAGGTCACAGTGACCAAGCTGCACAACAATAGATATGCTGAAGGAGCTTAAATGATTATATATTTTTAAAAACATTGCTTCTGTAGACCTTTATTGAATGTCAACTCATGTGTCAAACCCCTTTATAGGTCTGGGAATACTACAGTGTACAAAGTGCCCACCTTCATGGAGTTTGCATTAKAAACAAATATTTATGCCAGGTGTTAATAAGTGCTATGAAGAACATTAAAGCATGGCTAAGAAGGTTGGAAGGTATAGATGACCAGGAGTGGCCTTTTGATTTTACTTAGAATGGCTAACAACCAGATCTCTGATAGGTGACATTTGGCAGAGACCTGAAGAAAGAGGAATCACAGACTTCACAAAAGTCTATGTAAAGAGTTATCCAGGTGGAGGAAATAGGAAGTGCAAAGACCTYGAGGCCACCCCAGTAGCCTGTCCTCCATAGAGCAACCAGGGAGCATCACTGGAACAGAAGCCTTATGAGGACAAGAACACCCTCTGTCTCGTCTACCACTGTATCCCCAACAGCAGAAAAATTCTCAGCACATTGTAGGTGTTCAATCTATTTTTGTTGGCCAATAAATAAGTCCCAGAATAACAAAGTGGCAACCAGTCTCATTATGGGAAAGGCTTTTTTTTTTTTTTTTCTTATTGATGGAGAATTAACTGGTGAATTTGGTACTGGCTTTAAGCAAATTAATGAATGAGCTATAACTATTTATTAATTAAAAATAACTTATGGGGAGCCTCTTATATGCCAGATACTGTTCACATGCTGYCAGTATGTATAGCCATGAACAAAATAAAATCTTTGCCTTCATGAATCTTCCACTGTCTAAAGCACATTATGGACTTTTGAGATCATGGTTATGGAGAGCATAAGCTCATTTCCCTCACCTTCCTTGTGTCCTCCCCCTCCACTTAGATCCAACCCTTTAATACTATCAGCAAGAATCCTTGGCTAGAAGGACTACTTATAAGACCCAATATGATTCTTAGTATGCTATTTTGAAAATACCCTTTCAGAATGTCTTCTACCCTTATAATTTTCAGATATTGTTGRTTAGTCACCATTTTCTTGTTTAAACTTACAGATTTGAACTTAGAGAATGTCAATGCAGAATAACTTTTTATTATTTGTTTAGGATCTGTCTTAGTCCATGTTCTGTTGCTATTACAAAATACCTGAGATGGGGAGTTTATAAAGAACAGAAACTTTTGGCTCACAGTTCTGGAGACCAGAAAGTCCAAGAACATGGCATCAGTATCTGCTCAGCATCTGCTTGGCATCTTGCAAAAGCCTTTTTGGTGCTTTGTAATATGGTAGAGGGTATCACACGGTGAGAGAGCAAGCATGCCAGCTTGGGTCTCAGGTCTCTCCTCCTCTTCTTAGAACATCATTAATATCATCATAGGGWTCCCACCATTCTGACCTCATYRAATCCTAATTACCTCCCAAAGGCTCTACCTCCAAATACTATTAATATATATATTTCTGGATAAATTTTCCAAAACTTTCAAATCATAGCAGGATCCAAGTCTTTAATTCTCTTTATTGTGATATTAAATGGAACCTAAGCTTATTTATAGAAGATGGGGTAAGGAGAATTGCAGGACTTGTCTTTTTGTACTCCTCTTTCTGCCACTTTTCCCCCTAAGCTGTATGAGAGAATTGTTTAGACAGCACTGAATAATTTGGAGGGAATGGAGAAAGTACTGCTTCTAAATACTTTCTTTGCAGAAGAAATGCCCAGGTTAAGTGGGTCTGATGTGTTTATATAAATTCAAGTCATGTAAATGATTCTTGGCATAAGAGTAGCTGTAACAGCCTTCATAATTATACAGAACTTTAAAAGCTATTTTTGTTTGATGATTTACCTTAGAACTGGAAGGTTTTTACATCCTTATGGAGAAAGGATTAAAAAGCAACAGTCTTTCTTGGTGCAGAGAATAAATAATAACTTCATGTCTAAAGATAATTTCATTTGCAATAATGATACTCCAGAGTATTTGACTGAACGCATTTTTCAGTGCTGACCAGAGCAGCTGGATGGCTTCTGGGGATTGGGTGGTGGTTTGGCTTGAGTGACTGTGTGTCTCACATGAAATCCATAACTCTTAGAGAAAGTGGAATACCATGAAATAGGCAAGAAGGTCTGGGAAGGAGAAGTTTCATGTGGCCGCTACCTTGTGTTACCCAGACCCTTTCTCCAAGTATGTTTAATATCTGAGGAGTTATCTCAGACTGTTTATCACTCCTGTTAGATTGATTAGCATGAAGGTTGTTTTCTTCAGGAKCTGTTCCATCTGACATTGTGTAGCAAAAGCTGTCCTGGATTACATGCTACATTCTTCTAGGTGATGAAGTGTCAGGTGGCACTGACCAGTTTTGAAATGGAGTCTCAATTGTACCTTGGTCTAAAGTGACTTCTTTTTTTCTTTTCTCTTTTCTTTCTTCCATTGATTCATACAGCATCTATTGAGCACCTACTGTGCCAGGACCTGAAGTAGGTAATATACAGATCTGCAGCATCTGTATAAAGTGATCCTCCAGAAGTGAGGTATAGGTCATGCATACACTCAGCATGTATGAGGCCCTGGATTCAGTCCCCAGCACCCCARAATAAACAAAGTGAACTTCCTTCCTATGAGCGACTTAATCAGTGATAGAATCCTGCTACTTCCTAATGTGCCTAATTATTTTTCTGATTATGTATTTGGTTTTCATACTGAGAGTAATAACAAATGCTCAATTAATAAACTTATATTTAAAGGGAATATTGAAAGTCTGATCATCATGCAATAGACTTGCTGTTCTTTAATTAGAAACATTTAAACCCAACTTCTGAGCGACCTTTCCTGCAGGGATAGGAAATTAGAGCCTGCTGATACAATTTTCCTTGAAAGAAACCTAAAGGATGAGTTGCTTGGTTTGGAAGGATTTGAGCTAACTCCCTAGCAGAGCTGACAAATGGTTGGATATCAAGGATTGAGCTGTAGATGTTTGCCAGAGGACTTAGGATGATGAAGCCAACTACTCCAGTGAAGGTTTCAATCTTTTAATATTTTAAGGGAGTATGATTTTGAAAAGCCCAGAGTTAGTTTAAAAAGAGATGTGGGAGGGGAAGAGATAGTGGGAATTGGGTGGGAACCCTGATGGTGGTGTTATTTATAGATTCAGCTAAGGGTTTGCATACTATTAGGGCCAGGGAACCCTGAAATGACCTCACCTTAATCTTCATAGTGTTGATGTAATGCAGAGAGCTAAGAATGTTGTAGGATTTTGCATAGGGAATATGCATATGCCTGGCATAATTTGTATTGAACTAGATGAACAATTTAAATATCTAGTCTCTGGAGTTGGCTCAAACAAGAGTGTTTCCTTATCAGTAGAGCAACATCTCAAATTTCAAACAATTTCAGGTTATTCTTCAAAGATATTGGAAGTATTTCTGAAGTCTACTGGTACACACTGTATCAAGCGACCTAGATAACCAAGTCTCTGGTGAGCAGTTACATGACGTTGGGCAAATCCTGAGTCTCGTGGGACTCAGTTTCTCCATCCCTGAAATCAAAGGTTGGACTACTTACAATTTGCTTAGCTTCTTACTCACACCCAATATTAACCTTGCTGTTCAGAATATTGTGTGCCATTCTAACGTTTGTGTAGTTCAAGTGCCCCTGTCCATTGCTTCCCAAGGGTTTACTCATGTCTGAGTTCCTTTTTCAAAGCTTCAGGGAACAGCCTGGAGGAGGCCCCTCGACATTCCCTCCTGTTCTTTCTTTTAGTTATTCAGGAATATAATCCAGTTAATAGCATCCCCRAGAAGTGTTGCTATCAACAACACCAAAGCTCTCTACAGTCTCATTCATGTCTGAATAAAATAATTCCTTTTGATATTTTTTTTTAAAAAGTGAAAGCACTTGAGGTCTCACTGAAAGTGTTTATTTATTCATACTGAAAGGTGCCCCGTGGGTGTTCCGTCTCATTCTGGAGAGCCTGTGAAGCAGGTTTATGCCTAAAGTGTTTGTCCCTGTTTATTTGTATTTGTTTAGACTGAAATTAATGGAGAGTTTTTCTTGCAAACAACAAGGACCATTAAAATAGGTTTCTCCCTGTGGTGCTTTTGGTCAGCCCTTACATGGAAAAAAAGAGTAAAAGAATATATATATATATTTTTTCTCTAAGCTCAAGGTTTTCATCTTTACCAATAAACTGGGAACTGAGGGAATAGAAAGACAACCTCTGTGTGTGCTCATGGTAATAAAGTTTAAATCATAAACACTAATGGTCTTTTGGCTTTTGCAAAGTGAATTTCTTTCCCAGAACCCAGCATGTTTTTGGTTTTTGCATCTGCWTGGGCTTGTATGTACATATGAATAGTATTTAGTGACCTTTTTCTTTTCTTTTCCTTCTCATTCCCATCCCCCCCACCCCGCCCTTTACTGGAAGAAACATGACGTTAAATATAAATTCTTTGTAATTGAAAAAGTGATTTTGCTTTTCTTTTTACTTGAGCAAGGACTTGCTTTTATTTAAAGGCATTTTTGTTCTTAAGAAACTTGATAAAAAGACCCCATAAGGGTTCCTCTCATGTTAGGCCATTAAAAAAAGATTTTTACATAAGATTTTGATTGATTTCTTTCATAGTCTTTTTCTAAATTTCTTTCCTCACATTTGATTATTTGATCTCTTAATGCCACAAGTCTCAATAATTGGTGTCAGGGAAGGGGTTTATTTTTTTCCTTATTGGAATTTTGTAGGGAGACTGTTGATTTGTATGTTGAACAAACAAATAGTAATTGTGGGGATTTGATATAATTTCATATAAGTGCAACTTTAATCTACTAATTAAGATTTAATGGGATTGGGAGTGTAGCTCAGTGGTAGAGCACTTCCCTAGCATGCATGAGGCCCTGGGTTCCATCCCCAGTATCTCAAAATACATAAATAAATAAATAAATAAGGTTTACCATTATGTAAATATAAAACTGAAAAAAAAWTTTAAAACTCAACATTCAGTCTGCTTTGATTGATACTTGACTTTTAGCTGTTGGACATTGAAGTTTAAATTGTGTTTTGTGCTGATTCTGGTTCCAAATTCCGTAACACTTTAATTCTGAACAGACTTGTTCTTAATGGCCTATTTTCTTTCCTTTTACRCTCTGATGAGATTTTGATTGATCTTAGACCAAAGTTTCACATGTTTTTTGTGTTAAACTAATCATTTCTGCTGTGCTCCTTTTAGGAGCTTCAGTGAGTTTAACTTTTTCTGTCTATGTTGAATTTCAAGTCACAAGTAGTTAGAAGGACTTAAATGAATAGTGAAACAGGCACTTTGATTCTTTAGAACTATCCTTTTACTGGTATGTGTGTATGTGTGTCTCTATTTTTGTGTGTATGTGCCTAAGTGAGTGGATATTTGTTTCTGGAGCCTTGATTGAATGACTGATGTTTTTCTGATTAAGAAATGCARTGTGACCATGTTACGAGTTTCCTTAGGAACTTTTGTGCTGGCACTCCATGATGTTACTGAGTAAATAGTTTTTATGGTCTAATCATTTATAATAGAATTTCTGTGGGAAAAATGGATTGTCAATTCCAAGCAGTTGATTTATAAACATRTGTTTGAAGCATAAAACATTGCTTCGCTGGAGACTGTTTGAATAGTCCATTTGGAATGGGGCTTTGTTTCAGTTCCCCTGAGTCTTCCCTGGTTTTGGTTCCCATGGAAAGCAGAGCCTAAAGCAAGGATTTGGGTGGAGGTAGTTTATTTGGGAGGTGTTCCTAAGAAGCCTGTAGGGGAGCATGGAGAGACCAGGGAGGTGGAAAAGTCCATTTATCAGAGTGTTGTGAAGGTTGATGCTGGAAGTAATCTGATTCCACCTCCAAATTCCTTCTTTCAAAAGATAAGAACTAGAGCATTTACAATTACCCTTTATCCCCCTGTCCTGGGGGCAGGTTCAGACCCTGGGAAACAAGAGATGGGATCTAGGCAGGTAAAGAAGTGAGGCATGGTTGGGATAGTAGACATTCTTTATTCAAGGGCAGCAATAGTCCCTGGCCATGGCTCAGCTCTAGCTTCAGTTCCATTTAGCCCCCTGAGCCATTTCCATAGGGCTTTTTTATATGCAGGCCAAATAAGGAAGGCACCTTGCCAATAGGTTACATAAGTGAGCACATGCTCACAAGCAAATGTTTATGACCTTGAGTAGATACACTGAGTCAGGGTGTTTGTGACCTTGGCTACATACAAAAAACATATCCCTCAGGAAGCATCCTCAAGGCTACCCATCTTGGGCCTGCCCAATGTCCCCAGTCAACGTGTGCCCTGGGCAATTTGTGCTCCACACTTCTGAGCTGTACTTGCCTTCAGGCTGGTTGGTACCCGGCTTCAGAGAAGGCTCCAGAGAACAAAAGAGACACCTGTACTTCCCACTGTGGCCATGGCTAAAATCAGAGCTGGACTGAGGAAACATGACAAGGGACCTCCAAGAGTCTTGGGGCCAATACCCAAAATGGAATGATTATGTACAGTAAAGCCAATCTACTTAACCGAATCAAAGACTGTGTTTATTGTAAGCTCCACCATTAATTTATGTACCACTAAAAAATAAAATGGACTGCTAAGGAAAGAAAATATGTTGCCAAGTCAGTCTTAATTATGAGACACTCAATAACAGAGATATTAAATGTGGGGAGAAGCATGTTCTAGAATTGATGAAACACAGTATACAGTAAATAATATGAAACTATGCTGTGGGTCTGTATGTCCTTTCATGGAAAGCTATCTGGAATACATTAAGTGAAAACTGCAGGTTATAAAACAGTATGTAAAATGCTGTTCCATTCATATGAAGAAAAAGGTGGATAAATTCCAGGTGGATTTATACTGAATTGCTAACATTTATTTTCCCCAGCATGGTAAGATGATTAACAATATTTCCATGATTAGAATCTACATAGTACCGTAAAATTAACAAATAAAAAAATATAGAGAGGTCCAGAGAAATCATGGTTTGTTTCATCTGTTAGTAAACCATTGACAAATCATGAAGGTCAGGTCTAAACCCCCCTGGATATTGTTCAATTACTCACTGTTTCTGTTGACCAAGGAGCAGCACTGGCATTAGAAACAGCTGGTTTCCTCTGATGAATCATATCCAACCATACACTTTGTATACACAGAAAAGCTTTTTCCTGGGGAATCCCGCTAACTACCTTTCCAATTAAGATGCTTCTAACATCTTTCCCCAGTCCTTGATAACAGAGGGCTTAGTAAGACTAGCTGACTTCAAYAGGCAGACAAATATGTAAAGATGCAGAATTTGGATCCTGAGACCTTTAGTGGATGACTTGGAGATTATTTACTCAAAGAAAAAAGCTGGAAACTTCCTCTTCTGTAGAATGGATAATAGTATGTTAGGGTTAGAGGAAAGAATCTTACATATCATCCAATGCAGTACACCACCTGGGTCTGTAATCTATATAACTTTACTGGCAAAAATCATTTAGCCTCTGAAAGGTTTTTCAGAGACTCAGTACCATTGCATCCAGCTCATTCCAGCTATGAGTTTTCAARTTGTTAGAAGGTATTGTTTGAATGATGAAGTTCTGTTTGCTTTTATTTCTACCCATTAGCCTTAGGCCTCCCTTCTGAAGTAGAGTAAGTCTGATGTCTTCTATGTAGCAATACATCAAATATTTCCTCTGAAGCAGAATAGGTCTGATGTCTTCTGTTCAGCAATACTTCAAATATTTGAAAATAGAAATCTTGTCTTCTCTAAGCCTTTCTTTTTTATGTTAGCATTCTCAGACTTGAAACCACTGGAGAATTTTCTGTCTCATCTTCAGTAGCTCAGGGAAGTTGTGATTCTATATAATGTGTCCTTGTTGTTAGATCTAACTAAAGGAATTTCCTGTGGGCCTGTGAATTTGCTATATGGTATTTGATGAATTTTAAAAAATTTCCATCTTTTATTGCCAGTAAAGTATTTAGAAATGAACACTATATTTAAAAAGATACTTATTGTTCTTAATGTTTAATCTGTGATATATTCTCTTGCATCTTTGACATAAAGTAAATGGAAGGGCTTTGGGGTTGTTTACTGTCTGCCAGTCAACTGTCAAATCACCAACACAARTACAAAGTCTGGTGCATGGGTAGTATGAAATGAATATATATATATACATGCACACACATATTTCAATTGAATATACATATGTATTTATACATATACACACATGTTACTTGTGTTCAGATCATAGATTTAGCATGTAGTTTACATCTTTTTTGGTGGGGGATTGAACTCAGGGGCACTTGATCACTGAGCCATATCCCCAGCCCTATTTCATATTTTATTTAGAGACAGGGTCTCACTGAGTTGCTTAGCTCCTCGCCTTTGCTGAGGCTGGCTTTGAACTCTTGATCCTCCTGCCTCAGCCTCCCAAGCAGCTGGGATTATAGTCATGTGCCACCACRCCCAGCTAGCATGTAGTTTATTTCTAATGTTCAAATTTCGGGAATTATTCTGCTTTCTACTTAGAAATAGTGACTCCCAGATATTTTTGGCAGT